AGTTTTTTTTTGTTGCATGTTTAATTATTATGAGCGTGTGAGGATTGTAAGGTTTTTAATAATTTGAGTTTGTTGTATTGGACTTGATGGGAAACAAATTTAGAAGAATTTGTAGACAAAACCTAAAGCCAATATATTTGTTTAATTAGTTCTCACGGTACGTCTAAAATATAGTATTTTTTACAAATCTTCTTTCAATACTTATTCTAAACCAAAGTTGGTATCCTATCTGTCTGTCTATTTACGACGAACAGTGAAACAACTAAATGGGTTTATAATACAGATTTCACTAGAGGACATAGAAAATCTTTAAGAAGGTTTATACCTATATATGTAAAATTCGTGAAAACTCGGACACCGCAGACGAAAGGACAGTAAACCAAGTTTACAGTCAACACGAAATGGACAATACATAAACATTACCATATTGTTATCATACGTAAATCATTTTCCACAATTCGAACACATCGTCGAGTAGATACTGTATTTGATTCTTTATCATTGCATTAACAAAACATGTTATTATTTCGACTCGTACAACTAATCATTATTTCGCGTAGCTCTGAAACTCGGGTGAAAACACAATGCGTGCTGCTCGCTGAAAGTGAATTAATATGTAAAACAACCTCCGAGAGGCTACAGAATGTAATGTGCTACTATTTACACAATCACTGTTAAACTGAGTTTCATTTAAAATGCCGGAACGTTCTAGCTTGTTGTTCGTACATTTTGTTGAATATATTGTAACATTTTCATTTTTCGTAGAGAAACTTTTGAAATCATTTAGTTTTGGAAACTTTTTTAGTTTACAGTTGATATAAAAATAACTATCAATGTTTTGCAAACTTGTGGAAGTGCGTTGATGTCTTTTGTTCGCGAGTTTTGGGTGGTTGTTTAAACGAGTTTTATCAGTTTTAATTAGTTTAAATTCTTGTAAAAAAAGGCTGTAAATCGTCAAATTGCGAGTAGTCGTCACATGGAGTCAGAGCGCAGTTGTATCATAGCTGTGGCTGCGACTTTCGCGCGGTCATCGACCCCTTAGAAAGCACCTCGCTTGCTGATCTATTGATTATTAAATAGTTATCGGCCACGGCTATTTGTTTGTCTATCTTCTTTCAGTAAATAGATTGGGGATGAAATTACTGGTATATTGGTAACAAAACACACTAAATACTCATTAAATCGTCATGTAAAAAGTGCTTTACATTTGTAAAAGATAATAATAACCGTCCGCGTTAATTTATCTTGTATTTCAGTTGTACATACGAACATAAAGTCTTCAAACAGACTAATCACTTATTTAAAAAAATAATTTTGTAACAATAATGCATTACTGCGAGAAGAAACGTTTAAAAGTTCAGGGCGATTAAAGACAAATAAGGTCGTTATCAAATTTTTATACCTAAATCATTGTTACGTATGAATCATAATTATAAGAATCAGCTGATCGAAGAAACTTGCGAAATGCTGGTCATTTTCCACCGGATGACTAGTCCTTGCTCCACTATTGAAGTCTTTGCTTAGCAGGATATGATAATGAACCAATTTCACGTCTTCGATAATCTCCCTTGACCCAGCATGTGGTTATCAAATCTCATTCTTTTACAGTTTTTAAATATTTCCTTTGAATTTCGTTTGTATTTCAAAGCGCCTTATTGATCTTCTCATATTTGACGAATTGACTTTGATATTCCTTTTCAGTTTAACGAAAGAGATTAAATTGGGATTATTTTAAAAGTACCTTGTCGGTCTAATGGAAGTTGACGATTTGTTTTTGATATATTTTCTCAGTTTGATTGAAATCGTTCACTGTTTAGATCTCCTCTGCCGACGCTACTAGGACAAAAACGTGATGATAATGCGTATTACAAAAAGCCTACATCTTGATGTTTTCAAACTGTATCAGCGCAGTGTACGCGATCGATGCCAAATGTCAGTGGCCTTAGCCTCCAACATGGAACGAGGTAAAATCACATACATACGCTAACGTATGCCTTATTTGGAATATATATAGAATACCACATTTATGTATATTATTGTTGGCAGGATTTTTTTATTATTGTATATTAGGTAAACGACCTTTTTACTGTTACAATTTATTGACGAAGTTTACACAAAATATTGTTTATCATATCTTATCGATTGTTTTATTTTTAGAGCATTTTTTTAATGGGTAACCCTATGCTCTAAAAATGTCGCGGAGAAACTAACAGGTAACCGGGGCTCCGGCTCCACGTGCAGGAGAAGGAACGGGGTGGTTTTTAGTCAGTAAGAGTCTGACACTCCCTCCCGCCTCACCCAGACGGGAACAGTCATTCGATGACTTTCCCCCCTTAAAAAAAGGGTTGTTTGAATCTTTTTGGTTTATAATATTCTTTGAAATAGTGTGGATTCTAGATTATGCTCGGTGTATGGCAACGGCTCTCCTCCTATTACACGAGAATTAAAACAATATCTAAAAACCTCCGCTTTTGTGTGGGGTTAAAGGGCTACAATATTAATAAAAAATTCTTAGTGCTTCTTTCTAAGGATAGGTACTAAGATTGTCATAATGCTCTAGCTTGGTGTATTACTTTATTATTTGGCGAAGTAACAAATATTTTCACAGTCATGACGTGACATGACGAGACGAGACGAGAAATGTCTCACATAGCTTATGAATGCCTCACCTGACTTCACCTGTGTGACACATACGTCACGCTCGTCTGTTAGGCGTGTCAAAATGAACACAAGACCTTATATCGTGGTAGGTACAATCTTTATTCTTACTTTTTAACAGTTCTAAGAATAAAGATGCTGATTCTGGACTATGGGTGATTAAAAAATAGATGGTGATGAACGATTTATCTCATACATAAGTTCCCCCTCTTCGAGTTTCACAGAGTCAGAACAAGAGTCTATCCATAATGTCATAAACAAATCAATATCGTATGTAGACTAAAAAGACGATTGCATCTGGTCAGTGGCATATCGTACCGAAGGTATAAAGGCATAATATATAAAGGCTAAAATTATGATACACAGGCCAATGTGTCCTTGTATATCATGGTAATCTTTGTACCATGATACCTTCTAAGCACTGACATGTGCCACAACGTTCCTTCTTCTCGACTCGTGTGGTGCCCCCTGGCTTGCCCTTCCAGCACATGCGCACCGTCGGGCGTCCAGTGACATGCGCTCACGCATGTACTTTCGTTTTCGGCGCTTGCGGTCGATTTCACCGGCCGCCGCGCATTAGGTCATCAGGTAACGGTTGTAGCAAGAGGCGTAACTCATGAGAGACAGAGATAGCCTGATAACGAGACAAACTTCTTAACATTTGGTCTTTACCGACTTCAAAGTAATGTATTTGTGTAAATTACAGCCCAGATTTCAAACATATGCTTGATTGCTTTCTTAAAGTAGACATACAACTGGTAAAAATATAATTTAAAGTAACAACGATTAACGTTCAAAAAAAAATAAATATCAGTGATCTAGATTGGTGTCGCAATAAAATTATATTTTCAGCGGTTTCTTGAAAGCTGTTATTCAAATAACGGCCAATTAGTAATCAATCTGTCGAATGTAAAGAATATTTTTAGACCCATTCAATCAAATCGAATACCAAATTAATACTCCAAATTCCATCTTGATTTATGGAGTCCAATTTACGAACGACTACAAAAACTATTAATAAATATTAGTTCTTAAAAAACCCCGCTAAATTGAGAAACTCCTCCATATTTCAAAGTCGGTTAACAATTAATAAATTAGTCGTTTGTGTATCGCTCCCGCTTATCAAAGAGGTCGCTGTTTTCCTTTCATTTGGCTCCGACTAATTCTGTGTCAGTGGCGTGAGGTCGCTAGGCGGTGGGAGGAGGGGGAGGGAGGGAGGGACGATCACCCATCCATCGGGCAGGAGGAACTAACGGCACTCCGCTGTAGAGCACCATGGGACCCATGGAATGTGGCCGCGCGAGTTATGAGAGGAGATGTTACGAGATACACGATTACATTCTCATTGTTGTTGATTGATTGGTGTAAAGAGTTATTTATGGTCGTTTTTAGGAACTTTAAAATTAAAATTGACAAATTGTTTGTTGTATTCTGTTAGGTATTTTGTCGTCCTTAATTATAGTGTGTTCTAATTAACGTCACGTTTTCTTTCAATGGCTATGATTTATTTATGATTTGCGCAATTTTGTATGATTAGAGGGCAAGCAATTATAAAATTATCTTATCCTAATTTGCATAAACGGTAGCTACAGGACAATTTCTAGATAATTCCTAAAGTATATATTTACACTCGATAAATCAAGATAAGGAACTCAGAAATAATTTAGAACCCGCACGTAAACAAGTAAATAGCATAAGCATAGCACAATATACCTCTAGCTTGAAATCGCATCACAGCATTCACAGCACACATTCGCGAGCCGCCGACGATGCGCGTGCGCAGAATGGGAACGATACTAACGGCGCCAGCCATTTTTGTAGATGGCGGCAAAATACCGGGAAATTAGGCTCGTCCCTAATTAAGGATGATAGCCTCGATAGATTTAGAATTAGAATTCTAAACAAGAATGGAGAAAATGGAACGAAAATCGTATTGTTGATTTGTCTTTCTTTAGTGATTTCGATGTGAAAAATTACAGTTTCAATGGCCTTCAGATAATAATTTGTTAAATAAGCGTCCGATTGACCTTGACCTAGTGATCCATTTGAAATGGTGCCATCGCTATTTATGTGCCTAATGCGGTATCGTCGATTACCTACGACAATTTATTTCAGGTCGTTGCTTTCTTGTTACTAAAATTGTCTTCCTAGTTAAACCAATACTGGTATTAACACGGTCCTACTAAAGCAAACGTCAGACATCAAACATATTCAGGAATAACTTGCAACAAGTAAATAACTGGCCCATTTGAGATAACTTTAAAGGATTTACTTTTCACACTTCAACGTACAGGTATGCTACATCATATTTATAACTATAACCACACATTCTTTTACCCCAGGTCTACTAGACACCCTGGACACGCAGATGGAGGCTAAGAACTGCCCGGGCACGTGCATGCACGCGCTAGCAGCGCTGCTGTGTAATGACGTGCTGGAGGAGGTCGAGTGTCCCAGCCCTTCCATGAAGTGCTGTGCTGACGAGAAGAGTAAGAATTGATGTTCCAATATTATGCAGAAATAGATCTAGGATTCAAATAAATCCTGCTATTTCAACTTTAGAGTGGTGCACAAAATGGCCGCGGAGCTTTTAAGCTTAGTATGAAATTGACAAAAATAACTTGAATAAATTTTTGGAGTTCCCAATTCTTTGTTTACCAAATTAATTGCGTAGAAGTAGTAGGCTGTTCATCAAATGCCATTGCCATTTGTGCATTTATTGTAACCAAAAATGGTAGACGCGACACTTCCTTTAAGCCGTTTCGCATTTTTCTATTTTAGTAATGTGTTACTATTCTGCTGTTTCCTAATGAAATATGTCAATGTTCCAGGCAATGAGACCCTGCCGACGACGCAGCGGCCGCGACCGACACGACACACGACAGTGTCGGACGACGACTACGACGAGCCCACCACGCAGCCGCCGCAAGACAAATACAAAAACAGTGGTAATTATTAGGTACACCCTATTAACTATTAGGATTAGACCATAGTTTGTTAACAATGTTTATCGGATGTATGTTGTGACACTAGCCTGCCAATCCAAAAACCCAAAAGTACCACCTTATTTCATCTAAGTTTAGTAAAAGTACATTAAAAATTGAATTAACTTCTCGCACTCAGCTTCACCTGCACGTTTGAATCTTTCCTAAGAACCTATCGCTCTTCGTCACTACGAGAATCTTATAAAAATCTAATAATGACTTTTTGAGGTCATTGCAAACAGACGAATCTTTGTTTTTTCATATTAAGAATCGCATAACCTCCTTACATAATGTTCTAAATGTTCTCATTTCCAGGTAACATCGCTTGCCCAGGAGTATGTGTGGAAGCCCGGCTGTCTCAGTACTGCGAGGCGTACCTGAACTCCCCAGACCTGTGTGTCAAGGGCCGGCTGTGCTGCGTCTCCAAGGACAACTACGGAGACAGGCCTCCTCCCGACCTCGTCGTACCCAATGAAAAGAAATATTCTACTAAGAGACCTACTACTGCGGTAAATGTGACATTGTAACTTAGTCATGTTTGGGGTCTTATTGTGTATCCGTAACAATTACGTAGTTTAAGTGGCATTGTATCCAGATGTTAAAAGTGGAACATTTTGAGATATTCATTTGGTGAAAAGCTTGTCTAAGTTAAGCTAAGTGGCATTTAACGAAAGTTTGGTTTTCACCCGTCTATAAGTGTAAGTGTCATCTAACAGTAGAATTAAGGGGTTGGTTTAGTTAAGTTGGTGCTACGTCACGCTAAGTAACTTTTAGTTAAGAGACGGTATAGGGGTGATTGGTGGTAACAGCCATTAGTCACATTTAATGTGTAAATAATCTAACAAATCATCCCGAACATCCACAGCTCACAACAACGCCTGCTCCGAAGCAGAGACCCGGCCACAAGTGTCGCGGGGATTGTATATCGGGTCTGTTCTCCTTGCTCTGTGACAACGTGGATGAGGATGCTGTGTGTCCTGGCGAGGGTGTCTGCTGCATCACCGAGAACAAAGCGGTCGAGACCACCACCAGGCGACCGACCACGCCTAGACCTACTACACCTGTAAGTTATTAGAGGTTTTTGAAAATAGAAAATTAAGAATAGTTTGGAGAAGATCTCTTCTTCTCTATTAGTTGAATATTTCGTTCAGTAATTATTTTAGTTGAGTATTTCGTAGTCTTTCACGTGTATAATGTTTGAGTAGTTAGACAAAGTAGGTATTACACAGCGTAGACAATAAATACTTATCTATGTATTTTTATAAGAAACTACACTGCTTAGTAGCAGTGTAAGTAGGATCGTTGGTTCCGGAGTGTAGTTGTGTAGTCACAACTACACTCCGGAACCAACGATCCATGATAATCGTAAAACATTAAAAATCAACAAAACCTTCTTTCACAGATTTTTACTTTCCTTGTATTTAATGGCATATTATTTTTCAACAGCCCCCTCTACCACGTTGTCCGGGACACTGCATGCACAACATTATGGCGGCCTTCTGTAACCCGCCAGCTGTGATCCTGCAGCGCACTGAGTGTAACGCCGAGGGATGGGTCTGCTGTGACAATACCAGGTATTGACACTATTTCGAAATTCAAGAGGCTTGCACTCATCGTATACTGAACAGGCGTAGAGAAAGAGGACTGTGATATTGTGCTGATATATTTGCTCAAACTTCATCAAAGCAAATTGCTCTGATTGTGGACACAAACAGTTTGCAATAGCTTTTTCTGCAAGGGAATTTATATCAAAACCAGTACATAGGTTGTCGACAATAACTTGATTGAACGTAAAACTCTACACAAACAATGGCTCCTTTAAATACACTTTTCTCCCTAACTCCTTGCACTATTCCTCAGAGTGCCACCACGTACGACGCGGCGTCCGACCACGACTACCACGACCACCACCACGACTCCAGCGCCAGCAGACCCTCGGCCCGACTGTCCTGGCTCCTGCATCGTCTCATTACTCTCCTTCACTTGCTTCCGTAAGTATTTCTTTGAAGGCTTCTGTATTTTTTGGAATTGGAATATACTTTTAAAACTTTTACATCCATTAAGGCTTGAAGTCTACTATAATGGTCAAGTAATGTTTGATCAACACATAAAAGGTAATGAAAAATAAAGTGACGGAAAATCTTTTTTCACAGGAAACGCAGAAATGACGGACGTTTTCAAATGCAAGAAGGCAGGCACTCAGTGCTGCGCTCCTAAGTCCAAGGTGCAAGAAGTGGTGGGAGGTCGACCAGCCAATGAGACCGCTCCGTTACCGCTGCCACAACCAGCGACCAATTACCAGCACTACACCACGGCACTTGCGCACACGCATACCACGCCTATTGGTGATTCTCAAAATAACGTTCTAATTAGCCAAATTGAACGTAGGTATTATACTTATTGGTGATAGGGGGGACAAAATTGTTACTAATCAAAATGATATTATATCGCATGATTGGCTACTGGTGGGTTCAAAATATGGAGTGATTTTGAGTGTTAATTTTATTTTATTGTTAATATGTACTAACATTTTGTTAAGAAGTGTAAAAAGTTCTGGTTATATTTGTATTGTTTTATATTACAGCCCCGTATGAACCGAGCTATGGTACAACGTTGTCGTCTACTGAGAAATACAATAAATACGTGTGCGGAGTCAAAGGTAATTAGTTACAATCAACTTATTGAGCCTGAATAAATATTTTAAAACTGCTTAAAAGGTCTTTGATAGCAACACAACAATAGATATTCCAGAAAAAGCAACAAAACTTGTGCATTCGTGCATTAATCACGCAAACAGCATTTCATCACCCCACCACTCATATGGAATCCTAAAATGTGACAGGAACACATATAACACTTACGTAGGTTTGTGTGCAACCTAAATTGATCTCAATTACAAAATATTCTAGCAGTATTAAATACCCCAATTTCTTAACTCCTTCCAGGCACTACAGCCAGGTCAGGTAGACGAGCAGGCCGCGTGATGGGAGGTGAGGACGGCGAGCGAGGCGAGTGGTGCTGGCAGGTGGCGCTGATCAACTCACTCAACCAGTACCTGTGTGGCGCCGCGCTCATTGGCACGCAGTGGGTGCTCACTGCCGCCCATTGTGTTACCAAGTTAGTAAATTGTTATATCAGACCTTCTTTATATGTATATGGACCAGAGTCTATGTTCTATCTAAAACAGCGTCCAGACCTTGAGTGACGGGCAACAGTAATCTCTAAACTTTCGGCGACCACGCTTGGCACTTGGCAAGCTAGTCCTTAATTATAGAACTCCTTTAAAAGTGAGAGATCTTTGTTCAGAGGGAGGTCCGTTGTATTTTGTACCAATAAGTCCACACATGTTCGTCTTGTGGATGACAAGTAATTCTGATATAACTCCTACCTTTGTCGTCTACATGGCTAATGACCAGTGAAAATTTACTTGCTGTAGGTAAACACACCTTATTCCGATCACTGCTAATGACTTTTATAATGGCAATGGCATTTGCTAAATGTGCAATATCTTCACACACTACACATTAAAAGTTCCTGCGCTAATTAGAGACACACCTCATAGTCTAAAATAAAGAAATAAACTACTTAACGCTGATATCACTACTTTCAGCATCGTCCGTTCTGGCGACGCGATCTACGTGCGCGTTGGAGACCACGACCTGACGAGAAAGTATGGGTCTCCTGGCGCCCAGACCCTCAGGGTAGCTACAACGTACATCCACCACAACCACAACAGTCAGACCTTGGATAACGACATCGCGTTACTGAAACTACACGGCAAAGCTGAACTTAAAGAAGGTGGGTACTTTGAAAATGTTGTTTTGATAATTTTTTTATCAGAGGAAATTTTAGTCAATCTTCGATTTTTAAAGAATTCTTATTTAAGACGAAAATTAGAAATTTATAGAAATTGTAGAAGTATTTCATGGTTTTTATTAATCTCCAGGAGTTTGCTTGGTATGTCTGCCGGCGCGAGGAGTGAGCCATGCAGCTGGCAAGCGGTGCACTGTCACTGGGTATGGGTACATGGGAGAAAGTAAGTATGACTTTACTTTTTATCTAACTAAAACTAGTTTACTAAGAGTATTTGGGAAACTTTATTAGGCGCTGAACTGTTTGAAATTCATAATAGCACAAAATCGCGGACAATTTGACAAGATTGGGCACATTTCAAAATATTTCTAACTCTTACCTTTTCCAGCGGGTCCAATACCTCTCCGCGTCCGTGAGGCCGAGCTCCCAATAGTGAGCGACGCGGAATGCATACGCAAAGTGAACGCAGTCACGGAGAAGATCTTCATACTACCCGCCAGCTCTTTCTGTGCAGGCGGAGAACCAGGCAACGATGCCTGCCAGGTTAGTATGATAGAGGAGTGCTAAGTTTCTTGGATTGTGTGAATTCTATTTATCAAAATCACCGAAATACTTGTTTATCAAGATAGCTATGTTGTTTTCCTGCTTTATTTTGCTGTCATGGGCACTGTGAAAAGTTCTGAAAAGTTCAATTAGACCAGGAAGGCACCTTTGAACGTCATCAACAAAAAAAAAAAGAAGTGAAGCTAGTTGCTCATTCCAAGTTGTAGATTCCTATGGAGAAGAACAAGAAACTCCATAAACCTATGGAGTACTCTTTTTTATTCGGGTTTACATAAGGATCTTCAGGATTCCATTTTGGATCGCAACCGTTTTTGACTACGCCATAATAAGACAGTTTCTTAGTATCAAACAAGTAGGTTTAGCCTCAATCTTCACAGCATTCCTTCTATTCCATTCTGATCACCAGATCAAATTCCATCTATTTCCAGGGTGACGGTGGAGGCCCCTTAGTTTGCCAAGACGACGGTTTCTACGAACTCGTGGGGCTGGTGTCATGGGGCTTCGGATGCGGGAGACAAGATGTCCCAGGCGTCTACGTCAAAGTGTCTTCCTTCATCGGCTGGATCAACCAAATCATCTCCGTCAATAACCTATAGTACATCACTGAACAATACTAGGTTTTCTAAATTGAGGTCCTAAAATTATTATTTTGGTTTTATATTGCCAAAATTGATTATTGGGGGCCTTTTTATAAACAATTAAGCTTGATGGATCGTCACCGTACGTAGCTGCGTACGCGCATGGTGTTCAGTCGAAGTGAGTTTTGGGGTAAATAAACTCACTTGATAATGTGTCGGTAAAAAATTAGGGGAATGTTTTTATGAATTTTGGCGACTTAGTCATATAATTTTGACTCATAATATTTAATAGTTTTGTTTTGTTTTAAGAGCCATATTAAAAAATGTGCGCTTTTATGATCATGGCAAGTCATAGTCTATTTTATTTTAGTATTTTCAAAAATTCTGCACAAATTTCGTGAAAATCAATAGATGAACAAAAATTATTATTATCTTTTAGAAGCATTTCATAGAATTAGTTCGTAACTATAGTAAAATGACTGTATATCTGCATTTAAAATAATATGTATTATTAAATTATAATAACTATTTCTGCACATGGTACGACATCTATCGGCTATGTTGCAATGTAAATATTTAAACACTTTCTTAGTTCGTAAGTTATTTATTTATTTTTAGTTTTTATGTTAAATATTTATTTTTTACCCACCCATCTCTCAGTCAAGGTAAATTCGAATTTATTTTCCAAAATTGCACTGTCTTTTTTAAGTTATCATGGTTTTAAGGCTTTCTATTTTAAGCACAATTATTAATATCGACAGTTTTGCGAGAAATGGTGTTAATTTAGGAATAATATCGAAGTGGCATTACATTTTAATATCTAATAGGATGGCGTTTGACTACCGTCTCGCATTCGCTTCTAAATAATGAAAAAAGTTAAAATATAGGACTAAGAAAATTTAATTATGACAATAAGTTTTTTTTTAAAATTTAAATTGGGTCATATGTATCAGTTCAGTAGAATATTTATTGTGAAATTAAAGTAGAAAGCCTTGCAAAAACATAAAGTATATCGTTCCATTACGTAATAGTAACTTATTCTAGTAATAAAACAGTTAATATTAGTTTTAGTACGAAAAACCAAACAATATTATATTTTATATTATACATACCTACACAACTTAGTATTTTAGATATTTATACATTTACTCGAATAGCTCTCGCTTTGCAAAAACCTTAATTTTAATGCAGCAAAGGCTATATTTAATTGTATTGTTGTACCAAAATATTCCCGATTTTTAAAGTGTAAGTAATTTCGTGGGCACTGACAGGTTATTTATTATTTTATGTACACAAGGCTATGCTATTTAAATACAAAAAAAATGTGTCTTTTTCGTAAAATATCCAGCCATATTGTCGGATTATAGATTAAACTATTTATTTTTAGTTTTATCTCTGATGACACCAGTTTTTTGGTACTTTATTTTAATACATCAATGCAATATTTTCGTTTGTTATAAGATTCTAGTTATAAATGTCCCTGTAAAGTCAATTACACATAAATATCGTGTTATAAGCATAATACAGATTATTCTTCTTGGGTTTATGAATTCTGGTGAAATCAGCTCTTGACGAGGTTGTAAATATTATTGAGTTGTTATTCAGACTGATTTGATGTTGTACGAATTTTATACTGACGAAGTTAGGCTTTCGTTTTTTATGGGATAGGCTGGTCAAGTAGACGTCTCACCTGATGGTAAGCAACCGCCCATGGACACCGTAATACCCGAGGTCTTGCAGGTCCGTTGCCAGCCTTTTGGGTATTAGGGAATTGGGAAAAATGGGAGGGGAGGAATTGGACCTCCAGTAACTTTAGTCACGCGGCGAAATACAACGCAAACATTGTTTCACGCCGGTTTTCTGTGAGGCCGTGGTATTACTCGTTCATGTAAATTATCGTGTACACAAATCAGTCTGATTGCAGCGCTCAGGTACTTGTAAATGTAAGTACTCTATATACTAATAAATACGACGAAATTATAACGAGTTTTATTTCATTCTTTCACTACTGAAAATAGGTCTCCTCAAAGGCGAGAAGGTGCTGGACGCAGGTCCCTTCCAACCTAGCTAATTCAGAGGTCATTGGGGGGAGGTCTATGTTCTAAGGATTGTTATCAATAATTTCAAAGTATTATAATAAAATTGAAAGTTAAAAGAAGAAAAAAAGAAGATAAAAAAACGAAGATAGATAACTTACAATTTTACAAGCGGAAGAGTTTGTTTTTTTGTTTGTTTGTTTGAAAGCGCTAATCTCCGTAACTACAAGTCTGATTTCAACAATTCTTTTTGTGTTGGATAGCGCATTTATCGAGGATGGCTATAGGCTATAAAACATCACGCTACGACCAATAGGAGCTGAGCAGAGCGTGTGAAACCGCGCGGAAGTAGCTAGTATATAACAAAAATAAAATAACGACAATTCCCATAATTTAATTTTATTGCTAATTACATTGTTGCACACAACACTCATATACAATGATATGTGAACAAGTTAAATAAAATCTAAATATATAGTACGAACATTATATAATCTTAACACGATACGTATAAAAACTATAATTCTATAAAATACCAAAATTAATTTAAAGATATATGTATGTAAGTAAAATGTAATGGAAATCTGAATATAATATGTATATGTGAGTTTAGGGAAAGGCCTAACCTTTTATAGCTACTATAGCGGCTTATATAAGGATAGTAACAATAACTATTTTTATTAATAATGTTAAAATAACTAATTGGCAGTTGACAATGACCACAT